GGGTCGGAGCCCCCATTTCGCTCCTGGAGGGCTGCCCGGCTGCTGTGTCTTAAAAAAATCCCATTTGGGGACTTGCGGGTGTTCAAAGCAAGTGCGTGATTACGAGAACAGCCGGAATGCCGTGTACATTTATTTTATTTTTTCCTTAAAATTTTCATTTACATAACCAGGCGGGAGATGGGAAGGGACCTGGCTTGCACCAGGAGCAGGGTTGGTGGTGCCCCAGGACCATGCATGGTGCCCCCGTGTTACGGCCTCTGGAGCGTGGGTAGGGAGGGCCCTGGTCAGGCATACGCTAAAATAAGTTACTGAGCAAAAATAAGTTGAGTAGTCATTTCGCTGTTTGCAGTGTGTGCCCGGGGTTTTAATATGCACTTACTCTGACACCCCTCCCTCTCCAGCTATGAAACGGTTTGTGAGGTTGCCAGATACTCTTCACCTGTTCGTTTTGACATCCTTTATCTTTTCCTCCCCTAAATTTTGGTTGCTGCACCTCTGTGTCCAGGCCAGAGCCAGCTGTGCCAAATGTTGATTTGGAGACAACTCAGGCAGCTGAGTTGTGAATACTTGAAAATTGGAACTAGAAACTGCTGACACACTGACTTGCTGAAATGGATTTTGTTCTTCATTTTATTCTTTTCGCTCCTCATTTGCAGTGGTCTTACGACCACTCTTGCTGTTTTGTTTCATTGAGAAGTGGTGTCAGAAGTCTTGAGTCGTACAAGGTCAGCTATAACACGTTGCTCTTAAGAAGGCTTCCTCTGCGCGTTATTCTGAAATACTTAATTTTTAGTCCTTGACTCAGCTGAGAATCCCATCCTATCAGTTTTCTCTGGGATGAAGTATTTATGGGTAATATTCTTAACAGCGTATTTGAAAGTTATAGTGGAAGTTGTGGTGGTTACAGATACTTGCGTGTAGTAAAATCCTTTTTGATCCCTCTCGGCAAACGCAGTTGTGGAATTTCTGTAAAGATTCCTACAAGGATTCTTGTGTTCCCGACTTGAGCAGTTACATCTGCCAGACATCTGAGGCTCCAGGATGTGAGGATAACAATGATTTTTAGTATAGCAGTTAATTTCAACAACATCGGCAACAACAAAAACATTCTTCTTCAAGCTGGAGTTCTGCCCGCTCTCATTCTTGGGGGACTCCGTGCGCTGTGCTGACTTCGCGCCACCATGGCTGCAGATGAAGCCTTAGGTGGGTCAGTTGTTGCGGGAGATGTAAGGCTTTCCACCCTCGGGAAGGAGGACGGGTGAGTCAGAGGGAGGATAGCGCTCTTCCCAAAGGAGCGGGTGCAGCAGGAGGGAGTCCCTCTCCTCGGTCCACAGCTGGAGTGTATTTGCTGGGCTGGGTACAGCACGCTCTTGTCTCTCAGTGGGGCTTCAGGGCTTCTCCTGGGGCATTGTAGCAAGGGTCCTCGAAAGCAATAGGTCTCTGGCCAGAGATTTAAAAAAAAAAAAAGAGTTGAAGAAGATGAGGTGGTTCGGTCTGGACTGACCTGGGCTTCCAGCTTCACTTGAATTGCACTCTCAAGATTCATTTCAGAACCGTAAGGCCTGGAAATGAACTTGAGAAGCAAAAAGGAAAGCCGAGTGTACAGCATGATCTCAGGGTTTGATGAGTTGGAGCCCTCAGCAAGTACTGTGCTGCTCGGGTCTCAAGCTCGTACTGGGTCTCCCAGGGACTCTGAAATACTGAAGTTTCTTGGTGGGCAGGAGGCCGGTTGCCAGTGGTGGTGGAAGGGTG